CTACCCCCATTGTTCTGGACTTCTGGAGTCCCTCCATTGGAAACCAATCTTTATTTTGTGGTGTGAGAATGGCAATTTCCTTACCTTGTAGTTTGGATTTCTTGGATTTTTTTTCTCTGAGCTACATGTTTTAATGGATTCCTCAAAAATCGCCCCAGTAACAGTGCCAGTAACAAAATAGCTTTTGCAGTGTTGGGAACCAGACCTTTTCCACTGAGAGACGAACAAATATTTATCCAAAATGAGGCAGAAATAGCTAACTTGATTAGAGAGCACTAAATTAAGTCAGTGTTTCAAACTCAGAAAGGGATAGATTCATTATGAGACTCTTGCCTGACAAGAACTGGGAAAGGTCTGATAATTTTATCCTCCTGCCAGTTAAAAAGTTAGCTTGCCAGAGTTTCATGAGGGCAGAAAACATGAAACTCTTGGGTCAGAGATGATGGAGAATGTATTGCTTCCAGCACCAGCAGTAGCCAGAGTATCAGCATTTTCCAGTGCCCATTCCCTGAGTTCTACTTGCCACAAGGAGGTATAAAGATGTCCAAGTGACCCTGTATATGTAATGAGCTGCATTACTAGAAGGAATCCTGAGGTTAGGATTTCAAGCCTTTTGTCATGGGCTCTAAGCATGCCTGGGCTTTGATGCAACAGGAGACTGTCTCTATCCTCCAAGTCTGTTCACTGTACATCCTTGAGAAGGCAGTCAGTATCTCTGCTCACTAGACATGCAGGGACTTGAAAGACCCACTGAAAATTGTCCTCAATGACACCATGGAAAATACTTTGCTCTTGAGCACATTTAGTTGAGCCTTTTTGGGATGGGGCTCAGCAGATACCATTTCATTTTAGACATGCTTCTTGGTTAACATAGGTATGTAGCAAATTGTTCTTTCTACCAAAATTTATATCATTTATAAAGGTCATTGATAATATGACACTCATAGAAATCTTTGTTTTTATTTATGTTCCTTCTAATCACCTGAAGAGGTGATTTGTCCATATCCACTCCCTCTAGGTAACAATTTAGTATCAGGTATTATGTGGCTGCTATATTATTAGATATTCTCAAAGGCAAAATTCAAAACTGAATTCTCTGGTAACATCGAATCATACACTGAAGCAGCAATACTTTTTGTTTGTGTATTTGTTTCTTAACATCATGTAATGTGGCTTTGTCCACATGGTCAAAGAAAGTTTTATTTATTTAACTTTTTCTTGCTGAATTGTTCAGATCTATTTTCCTGTAACTACGGTGTAGAGTTTCTAAGATATAGATGTGTGCTGTTTATTTAGTATGCCTGGAAAGATAGAAGAAGAATGATACCAAGTAAGCTTTCACCATTAATTTTGGGCTTTCTGTTGAATTGACTATGTCAAAATAAACTTGACATACTTACACTGAAAGTGATTAATTACTGTCTCGTAAATCAAGATAAAGGATTTGCAGGCAACAGACAGCTTTTTGTTCCTGGAAACTGATTTTCTCTTAATTATAATGCATTTTCATGACTGCATATTTGCTCCATTTATGCAATATCTATTTCAAATTCCCTCTCTGCACCAAGGCCATTATAATCAGGGTAGTGGTGGAATTCAGACCTTTCTAAATTGCTTATACAAGTACACTGTTACTTCCACCATTAGAGATGTACCTTAAAATGCAAATATACTGTAGGAGTTCAGAGCAAGTGTGGCTTCATGGGTCTCTTCTTGAGGTCATTCGAGGGTCACAGTCAGGGTAATCCATATGTTGCTATGAAAGAGAGATCGAAAAAATAGCTGGTGATCTTTCTGTCTCTGGGTTGCTCCAAAGATGGCCCCAAATATCCCTTTTTCTTGCATTTCCTTCCCAGTTCACTGCTGAGTGAGCGTGCATGGTCCATTCCAGAATGACATATGCAAAGGCCACACCTTCTTTCAGGGTTTCCTCCTCACGACTATCTGCAGAAGAATGCTGTGAACCAAGGGAGAACAAAGCTTCCTGAAGATCTAACAAATGAACCCCATCATTTTGACTTTTTAGCTTCTGAGCAGTAACCGGCAAATTGTGATCATGCGCTGGTTTTCTATCCTGAGAAGTTATTATTTGCTGGTTGCAGTCGTAACACTAGGGGGCACTAATATGCTCAAAAATTCCTTCCATCTCGTTGGGACAAGACTTCATCTCACCCGATTTCATTTTAGATCTAGAAGAGACCTAGGAGATAATTTAGGCCCATTTTGTAAATAGCTTTCATTGTTTTATAAATACTTAGCTGGTTGTGAAACCAGAAGGAAATGACTTATCCAAGACCAACACTGGCAGGTGATGGTCCTAGTGATTTGATGTTCTTTCTCCTCTACAATAGTACTTTTGTCAGAGAATCTGGGACAGCCTTTTCTTAACCACTGGTAGTAAGTGCCTGCAATTCTCAGTTGTGTTCGGGGGATACTGCTTTGAACAACACAGGTATGGTTCTGCCCTCAGATTGCTCAACATTTAGGAAAACCCACTGACCAACTAACTGGATTTTAACAAGGAGTGTTATGGGAAAATACAGCAGAGGGGTGTCAGACTACCCCGTTTAGCTAGACCCTAAGGGAAAAGGAAATTGGCAATAAGAAGCAATGGGAAGCAATGGGGAGGGAAGATTTAACAGTAGGAAGCAGGGAAGGTATGACTTTACTGAGATGGGAAAGACCAAAGATACTTGGAGGTCCTGAAAAGCTTTGGCGTTGGAGCTTGGGGAGAGTGGCAAAGAGTGGCACAGGGTGAGCCTGGGGAAATGGGCAGGAGCCAGATCACCCTAGGGCCGTGTGGGCCATGTGAGAATGAGGACCTCAGCTACGGGGTCACGGAGAGTCACTGAAGGATTTCAAACAGGCAAGAGACAAATGCCTGCACACTGTGCGTATGAACACTGACTGCAGAATGGAGAGGCATGTGGCTGGGAAGAGGAAGAGCAGTTAAGAGCCAATCCAAGTCATCCAAACAAGAGGTGATGGTGTCAAGAACTGTGGTTGTAGTTGCTTTGGGGGTGCTTTCTGCCTATACAGGGTGGATTTCCTCTGAAGCATCCAGATGAAACAGCTGCCTGCTGGCAGAGTTACTGCCAGAAATCTGCCTGCTCCTCTTCTTTCTCCCACCCCTTCTTTGGCTCTTCCAGCTGTGGCCCTCTTAATTGAAACTAGAATCTAGCTTAGGATGAGCCAGGCTCTCACCCTTGCCCGCTGTCACCCTTGCAGCTGAGCACAGCCAGGCCTGTCCCACCATTCCAGGACTCATGGGCTACGATTGGTACCATGTACTGTATTCAGGTGGACTCACCATTTGCAGGATTACAGGGCAGCCAGGGCACAAAAGTAGTCAGGAAACAGATATGCTTTATGCTGTTTGATCTGTTTGGCAAAGCTTTGTTTGGGAGGGGATTATTACTATTATTTCTCAAAGTAAACTTTTTTTACTGGACTAAAAATAGTACATACTCATAGAAGATCTGAGAAAAACAGAAAATGTTGAGGAACAAAATCCCCGTAATTCCACAATTCAAATCCAATAACTTTCTATAATTTGGGGATACTTTTTCCCTTTTCTTTCCAAGCATATTTTAAAAATACTGGGATCTAACCCAGTATGAAAAATTGGTTTGACATTTTTACAAAAATACTGCTGATAGTTTTGAGTGATTATCTGTGCAAGACTCTGAACAGAGCGTTTTACAAATATTACCCCAATTTAATCCTCAGAACAATCCTAAGAGGTAGGATCTATTATCCCTATTTATAGGTGAGGAAACTGAGGCATAGTAAGATTAAGCAACTTTTTTCAACAGCTTTATTGAGGTATAATTAAAATACAATGAGCTGTACATATTTAAAGTATACAATCTAATAACTTGTGACATACATACATACCTGGACATTTCCTCTTAGCCAAGATGATGAATTTAATGTCACCCCCAGAGTTTTGTCTTGTCCCTTTGTTGTCCCTCCTCCCCCCATCCCATCTCTAAGCAGCTGTGGGTCTGCTTTCTATCATTATAGATTAGTTTTCCTTTTCTAGAATTGTGAACTTATACACTATGTGTTACGTTTGCTATCTGCCTTCTTTCCCTCAGCATAACTATTTGAGGTTAGTCCATGTTGTTTCATGTGTCAATAGTTCATTAGCTTTCATGGCTGAGCATTACTCCATTGTATGGATTCTGCAATTTGTTTATCGAGTTACCTATTGGTCAACATTTGGGTTATTCCCAGTTCTTGGCCCACAAATAAAATGTCTATGAGCATTAGTGTGCAGATCTTTGGGTATATGCCTTCAGTTTTCTTGAGTCAATACCTAGGAATGGAATGGCTGGGTCATCTAGTAGGTGTATTCAGAATACATAAGGAACATCCAAAACTCAATAATAAGAAAAAAAGCAACCCAAAATAAAGATAGGCAAAAGATTTGAACACATACTTCACTAAAGGAATCATACTGATGGCAAATAAACACATGAAAAGATGCTCAACATTATTAGTCACTAAAGAGATACCAATTAAAACCATAGTGAGACACCACTATATCAGAACAGCTAAAATGAAGAGCCTGACCACTAAATTATTGGTGAGCATATGGAGGAACTGAGTCTTTTGTACTCTGCTGGTGGGAATGTAAAATGGTACAACCACTTTAGAAAACTGTTTGATAATTTTTTTTAAAGTTTAGACATAAACTTACTATAGAAGCTTCCAATGGCTGCTATAATAAATTGCTATTAACTTGGTGGATTATAACAACAGAAATTTATCCTCTCTCAGTCCTGAAGGCCAGAAGTTCAAAATCAAGGTGTCAGCAGGGCCTGGTTCAGGCTCTAGAGCTTCAGAGGCCCTAGAGAAGCTTCTCTGATTCTGCCAGCTTCTGGGAATTGCCACCATTCCTTGGCTTGAGGCTGCATCATTCCATTTTTTGCCTCCATCTTAACATCACCCCCTCTTCTGGATGTCTGTGTCTAAACTCCCTCTTCTTCTTATAGGGAAACGTGATTATATTTAGGATCTACCTGGATAATCCAGGATAAGCCCCTTCTCTCAAGATCCTTAACGAAAGCCATATAAGGTAATATCCTTTGCTCTATAAGGTAACATTCACTCATTTGTCATATAAGATAATGTTCACAAGCTCTGGGGTTTTGGTCATGGACATATCCTTTGGAAGGCCATGTATACCTCCCATAAGCAACTCTTTAATCTATTATAACACAAGCATGTTCCCATTTTAAAAACTCTTTATAAACCTCTTTTCAAATGGTCACAAAGTATTTGCCATTTGGATGCATCATATTTATTATTTCGACTACTGAACATTAAAGACAGTCTTTATTTAAAATAATATTGCAGTAAACATCTTTGTGTATAAGGTCGTATTTTAAATACTTTGATATTTTTCCCTCTTAGGTTTCATAAAATTCCCTCTTAATTTTAGTTCAGTGAGCCAAAAGCTATAAATGTAAATTTCTTTGCATATCTTCCAAAAGGTTGGTACCAACTACGCTCTACACGCTCCGTAAAGCCTTTTACACTACTCCTTCCTGTTTCAAGCAAAACTTTTTTGGCAAATTGTTAAGTAGAAAATAGTGCCTTATTTTAATTTGTATTCCTGATGAAATGATGTTTTCTTTTATGCTTTAATCAGAATATCTTTCCTCTTTAAATTTTCTGTGTCCTCTGCCAAATCAATTAGTTGGCTAATGCTTTCTAAAAAAATCATCTTATGTGAACTCTATATAGACAGTAGAATGATGTTTTAAAATTTGTCCTGTGAATGTATTTCTGAGTTATGGTTTGCTTTTGAATTTTGTTATATTTTGATAATTCAGGATTTTAACAAACAGGAGTGTAAAATTATTTTACATAGGGCCATTCTATTGAGGTTTCCCTTTATATTTCTCCCATAACCACAGGAGGAGAATTTGAGAAAATTCTCCCACATTCAGAGAGCAGATATATTCATCTAATTTTCTCCATTTGGGGGGAGAGGGCGGGGCAAATCTCTAATCCATCTGTACTTCTATTTTGATATATGGAGAGAAGTGGAGAACATAACTAGGTTTTTCTAAATTCTTCAACAATTAAACAGTTACCTCAAAATCATTTTTATTGAATAATCCATCTCTTTAGTATTGATTTGTGATGGCTTCTTTATCATTTGTTAATGCTCTCATATAAACTGGGATCTGTTTGGAGGAGATTTATTCTATCCCATTAATCTATTTTTGGCCAATATGAGAAATTTACATTGAAATTTTATGATATATTTTAACATACACACAAGTCAGGTCATGAGGTTAGTTTCCTCTAATCAGAGAAGCCTTTTGCCTAAACGCGAGGCTGTCATTGCATTTTAGAAAAGCAAACTTACTAGCACATAGATTATCTTACCAATAATTTATATCAGCTTTTATTGCTTTAAAGTAGCACATCTTTTTCTTTGACTCATTATAATGGAATATTTTATACACATAATGTTTACATTTTCCCCTCTCCTGTTTTTATCCTATCCCCAAACTCATTACTAGACAAAATATTGTATTTAGAAATGTCCCTGAAACTTTTAAACTATTATGATAAATACTCCTGCAGCAGGCTGATTTTTTTGCACATCAGCCGCAATAATTACCAGATGCTATTCAACTGACCAGGTCCCACATTCCCACTTTCTGATTTGGTTTAAATCAGGGTTTGTCAACCTTGGCACTGTTAACATTTGGGGTTAAATATTTCCCTCTTGTGTCCTATTCACTGTAGATGTTTAGCAGCATTCCCCACTAGTTATCAATAACACCATCCCCGGCCTCCCCAATTATGACAATTAAAAATGTCTCCAGACATTGTCAAGTGTCTCCTTTGAGACAAAATTGCCTCTCTGAGAGCTATTGATTTAGATCAAAGTAGTCAGACAGCATGTAGCATAATAAATTTAACTTTCATTCTTTTTTTACATCATCTTAGTAACAATCAGGTCAAACCTAAAAGCAATCCAATAATTGAACATGGTTCACTGTCATTAGGCTTGGAAAAAAATCAGCTCCAGGGCATTATCCTTGGCCTTAAACATGACTACAGTAAGAAATGACATTCTAGTTGCTCAAAGTGAAACATCTCAGAGATCTCTGTTGATTCATCCCTCCCTCCTTAGCATAGGTTGACAATAAATTTGAAAAGTTGTCCATTTGACATATTACAGTTTGACAATTATATATATTGGTATGTGTAAATACATTATTATCTGAGTTTTAATCTTTTTTGATGTTTAGAAAATGGCCCAAACTCAAAGCACCTAACTCTTTGACTCATCTTGCTTTTGATTTTAGCATGTAACCATGGTTGTCTGTGCTAGTTAGTTCAGAGGGGTTTTACAAGATGATAATGAGGCCAATGTTGCAATTACAATTAGCTTCACAGAAGAATAGCCCAGCTTCACAGCAGCATACTGAACTGCTAACCCCTGTCACCACTCTCAACCAATGGCTGAATGAAGATAAGAACAGAGAATGTTACCAACTCAGCACTCCAGGACCATTCAGCCTGGACAAGCAAAGGTCATCTCATTGATGATGATGGGCCACCTGGGTTATATTCCTATACCAATGCACTGCAGAAGCCCAAAATAAGGAGTACTCTCTAAATCAGAGTTGTTGCCTTTACAGCCAAGGTAGATCACTGAGGCAAAAACTTTTTTATTCTATTTTTTTTAAATTAACAAATAGGACAGCTACAGTTTTGAAAGATATTTAAGCAACTGTTATTTTTGTTTCCAAATTTGTAATTTTGACCATATGTTTGAAGGAAGTGCATTTTATCCACACATGAAATTAATCGTTCATTAGAAACATAAATTTGCTTGCTGCTATGTAAATGTAATGACTAAATCAGGCAATTTTTCATTGGAAAGGGATGAATGTTGAGGATGTAAGTACTGAAATGGAGATTGAACTTACTTGTATTTAATACAGCTTTGTGTTGAGAAAGGTGTGTTAACAAGGGTCTCCAGCACCAGTTTCCTTAATATTAATTATGTGTTGTATAGAAGGTAACCTCGATGGAAACATCTTCCCTTTATTCAAAACATTGGGCTCATTTTACTTTTAGAGTATTTGCTTTGCTCTTGCTAAACTGCCTATATAGTAACGGATGTAGCGAAACTTGGCCAATTTGATTTATAGTCTCACTTCCAGCATTGATGGGCATTTCTTTCCCTTTTCCTCTGGTCCTTGAATTCTGATCATACTCATCCAATCCCAGGCCACATTTTCCCAGTAGGGAGCTTCTATTTATATAATGTTTTTTCTTTCTCATTGCTGCCTATATTTTTTTTTGGCTTATCAAAAGATCCATAGGAATTTTCAGCAGTGTTAATTCACCAAATTGCATTCACCAAAATGCATTCACCAAATGCATTCACCAAATGCAATCAACTTCCATAGCCTATGGAGAAAGTAGCTTTTAGAAATTGATATTTACTTCACATCATCAAATGTCTCTTAAACATACTGACTCCCAAATGAACAAGTGGGCAAGCCAAACAAACTGAACCTTGAATCCAAGAATGTCTGCAGATGTTTCCAGGAATTGCTTCATAACCAGTGAAATCAGGAACATATGTTTTTTCAATTGATTTCTACAGTTGCAGGTGCCTGGGTACCACATTTTCCCAACTGCCTCCCTGTTAAAATTAGTGCTGTTTTCAGAATCTCTTGTTTCCAAATGTGTGGTGTTCTTTTTCTAAGAATTCTAAGATTTAGTGCATTTCTATGTATTACGTACTGTGCAAACTGCTTTCATGGATTATTTCAGTTAATTTTTACAACTAGCTGACGGCATACATTAGATACTATTATTATTATCATCATCATATTCATACAGTTAAGGGAACCAAGGGGTAAAGTTCAGCCAGTGGCCCAGGATATACAGCTCACATTAACACATGACAAAGCCAGACCTTGAATCTGGTCTGTGTGAATTCAGAGCCTGTACTCTTAACTATTATACTATACTGCCTCCCAGAAGTCATTATTCCAAAGATCTATATTTTTTTATTTCCAATAATAATAATAATATCATTTTATTTGTTATTATACTTGACTTAAAACAAGTAAATAACAGTGATGACCAAATACCTTTCTTGTCACCCAAATCCTGCAGAATGTGTCCTTTCTGTACTAATTTAACTTAGAGTTGGAGTTTCATCTCTCTGATTTGTCTGGGTCTTAAATTTGTAGCTAGAAACTTGTTCATGTCTTGAGTAATTGTATTTCACTACCTATGACATTTTAGGTACTAAAAACATGTTCAATGATGTCTTAAAGAATGCAATTTACACCACTTCCTTTAGAAGACTATAAATAAAAAAATGGTAGAAAGTGTCAGACCATGATTACACCAACAGTTTCTGTAACCTCATAAGCCACAAGAATGAAATACCAAAAAAAAATTTTTTTCAACTGCCGGCATGAAAATCTCATTTGCTGCTTCTATTTTTGCAGCATTGATGGAAGTAACTCAGTTAGGCTGACATTTTTATAGAGGATAGTTTAATGTTCGAATAAGCCAGGTTATTTTACCATCTTTATTTTCTTTATGGAATAGGTTTTTTCTTCTGTAATGATTTGAGCTGTGCTATAAAGTAAATGGAAATGTGTCTTCTAAGTTGGATTATGCCTCCAGAAGACATTTTAATTGATGTAAAGTTCTTTTCCATAACCACAGTTGATGTTTACGAATATATACCCCTTCTAATTTTTAATGCTGTTGTTTTATTTCCTGACGAATCTCTTCACAGAAAATGTGTCAAAAAGGAAGGGAATCTTGGACTCAAACATATGCTTGGGTTTCTGTTAGCAGGAAACAAATGTCCAAATGTGACTGTAGACAAACTTACACACATGCTCGAGCATGTGCTCACACACACACTCAAGTCTGGATCCAACCTGGTGACACAGTGGCACACAGAGCCAAATACTAAGCATATGTCAAAATTTGGTGTGATCACAACAGTAGAATGGTACAATATTGTCTCATTCAATCTGATATAGGAAGAGAAGCCAAACAACAGCAAAT